CTGATCTTGTTTTTTGCCTCCAGACTTCCTTCTCTTGGATTTACTCTGAAATGTAAACCAGACTGTGCCACTCCTTTACTTAAATCCTTTAATCCATTCCCCGTAATTCTCAGGATAAAATTACTCTCAAAATCACTCAAGACACCATGCCTGCCACCTTTCAAGCTTCAATCTCAGTCTACACTTAGTCTTCTTTCCAAAATGACACGCATTCTCTTGCCAAGCATTTACACATCTTTCCAGGAATTTCTATCTCCCCTGCCTATTTTTCTAATGGGTTGTTTTGATGTCTACTAGTTACCAGAGTGGATGCAAGCTCAAGAGCTTGACAAAGCCACACCTCTGTGCAATTGAGACTCAAGGTGAGGGCTCTAAGAGAACAGTTCCTGTCCTAAAAAGGAGCCTTCCTAGACCATCGTTCCAAAGGTGGTTCCTCTCCCCACCTTCATTATCCCTTTTTCCTTTAATTTCTGTGTCAAGCCATAGTTTCCTTCATGACTCAATATAATTTTTAATTTTATTTTTAACTTATTTCTCCCTCACTCCTACTGAATCCTAAGCTCCATTGAAGATCTTGCACATCTCACTCACAGCAGTGTCCTATGGGCCTAGTATATAGAGGGCTCCCAAAAAGTACTTGTGAATGAATAAAGAATAATAGTAATAACAACTATAACAGCTAATTATGGTCTTATAGTTCTCAGTCAAGAACCATTTAGTAAACAGCACCATAATTTTTAGTTTTGTTCCAGTCATTTGGATCATAAAAATGAGGCAGAAAGTATAAGATTGTCTCATTCTTAAAGAATTTATAACTAGCTTGGGACATTGATAGGCATACCTGCAACAACATGAGCACCCACACAGGACAATTCACACACCTGTTCATGACCTCATGTTATCTTCTATTACTTTTATTGTGCTAAGGTCTTTAAAGGATTAAAATAATGTAAAATATTGTACCTCTCATGGATCTCAATTTATTTGGGGAGCCAAGATAGATACATTTGAGGAATTATGGACTGCAATATAAAGAACATGTAATTAGGTTCAAATAATTCTATAGACAACAAATATTAGGTCCCCAATGGTTCCTCTGAGCCAGTTTCCTCATGTCTAACAGGGTCATTGCAAAGATCAAAATACAAATTATATGAATGTGTTCTGTAAGTTGTACATATTACAAATTCAACATACAGTAATATTAAAAATCTTCCAAAGCATATCAAAATAAGTTAAAGTCACACCAGAAAACACAAACTAATCTTGGTAAAACATTATCAAGGGCATGACCTTGGTTTTTCATTGTTTCTACTTAATTTTAACTGCAATATTCTTAAACATGAAGGAAAGCCTTTATCAGGGTTGTGAAACTAAGGAGCATTTCTTGGTCAAGAATGCCTTTACTTGTGGCGCACACATTTCCTTTCACTGAAAGAAGCAAATATTAAGCACTACTTAGCACTGTGTTACGTGAGGTGGAGAATACAAAGTAAAATGAGATTCCTTTCCTGAAAGAAGATGCAAGTTAAGAGGTAAGATGGAAACCAATTATTAAAAATGTCAGATAAAGTAATACAAAGTCTGGCTCCGGCGATGCCAATGGGAAGACATTGAGAGTTCCACAAAGCAAGATGTGAACATGACTTTGTGAATGTCTAGGTTTATCAGGTAATGTGTGTAACAGATACCTGGGGTCTAGCTTCCATCCTACAGGAGAGATTTTTACTCATTTATGTATTTTTCAAAATATTTATAAGTTAGTGTAGCTTTTATAATCACGAAACTCTCTCTAGACAGACTAAAATAAAATACATTAATATACGAAGTATCCTTACATTAAAGGGAAGGCAGGGATGTTCCTCCACAGAGTACCAGCTTCACATCCTGAAATGATGGTTGTAAGGAAGTTTTAGAAGTTTCAGCATAAAAAAATTAAAATGTAATTGAAGAAATGAGGAACAGATTAGTGGTTGCTAAGGGTCAGGATGGAGGTAAGGGAGATAAGTGTGGCTACAAAAGTATAACAGGAGGGATACTGGGGGTGATAAAGCTATTCTGTACCTTGACTCTCAATATTCCAGTTGTCGTGTTATACTTTGGGTTTGCAAGATATCACCATTGGGAGAAACTGGGTAAAGGTTACAAGGATTGCTCCGTATTATTTCTTACAACTGCAAAGGAATCTAAAGTGATCTCAGAAGGAAAGTTTAATTTTAAAATGATAAAACTGGAATCCATGAGCCCATACTGGTATAAATAAATGAATAAGAAAATGGGAGAGGACATAACTTTTTCTCACAATTGACAATAAATTTCTAAAAGAGAATTAGAAATTCATCATTAGGCAAGCATCAGTGTAATGATTAATTCATCCAAGAAATATTGATGAATGCTAAGACTAGATGTTCAACTTTGATGAGGAACAGAACATTTCCTACAAAATGCTTATTACAAAGGAAAACAAAAAAAGTTTTTTCACAGTGGAGAAACCTGGCAGATACCACCTTAATCATGTAATCCAAGTTAAGATCATCAGTAATGGAGCAAAACAACATCATGTTCTCCCTGACAGGACGCAGTGAGAAGAACCACAGGAGCACTTTTATGTTATTTTGTCAAAGATAAATAATAGGAATCTAATCATGAATATCAGACAAACCCAAATTGAGGGACATTCCATAAAATGACTGACTTGTGATCTCTAAATGACAAGGTCATTAGGGTTGAGAAAAGACTGAGGGACTGTTAAAGACTCAAGAAGACTCAAGAGATATGACAACGAAATACAAAAGTGATCCTAGACTGGATTTTTTTGCTATAAGAAACATTATTGGAAAAATTGGTTAAACTTGAACGGGGTATGTGAATTAAATGGTAGTTTATGTATCATTGTTAATTTCCTGATTTTGATGGTCGTATCGAGATTCTGAAAGAGAATGTCCTTGTCTGGAGGAATTACTCTTTATTCAAGGATAATGGGGCATCATGTTGGCAAATTACAAACAGTTCAGGAAAAATGTTCCATAAATTTGGTGAACTCTGGGATTGTTTCAAAATCATGTTTATTATAAAAAATGCAACAGATAATTTTCTCTGCAATCTGGAGCTTGAGAGATCATGCTGTGCCCAATTTCCCCTTCCTCTTCCAATGAACTTAGTCAAATGAGGATAGCATGATTGAAAACGGAATTTTCTCCAAATCAGGCATTGGCACACTTTTTCTGTAAAGGGCCAGATAGCAAATATTTTAGATTTGAGGGACAATCTGTTGCAACTATTCAACTCTGCTGTTGTACAAAAACAGCCATAAACAATACACAACCTAGTGAGTGTGGTTGTGTTCTAGTACAACTTTATTTATGGACACTGACATTTGAGTTTCATAGAATTTTCATGTGTCACAAAATAGTCCCTTTTACCTAAATCATTTAAAAATGTAAAACTCATCCTTAGACCTATGAGCTAAAAATGGGTGCGTTTGGGAGCCAACCTGCTGGTGTAGGGGTTAAGTTCATGTGCTCTGCTCTGGTGGCCTGGGGTTCACCGGTTCAGATCCCAGGCATGGACATACACACCACTCATCAACCCATTCTGTGGCAGCATCACACATACAAAACAGAGGAAGACTGGCACAGATGTGAGCTCAGCAACAATCTTCCTCAATCAAAAAGAGGAAGATTGGCAACACATGCGCTCAAGGCCAATCTTCCTCACCAAAGGAAAAAAAAAAAGAGGGATTTGGCCATTAAGTCTTAGTTCGCTAACCTCTGCTTTAGATTTTGGTCTTCACATGCCACATCATTAAATAGGTTATTAGTAAATAATCTATGAATAGGAATCTTATAATTTAAGGAAAGAATTAGAGAATTTTATACATAGACTACACAATGTACAGGTGAATATTATAAAATGAATGCTCCCTGCTTTGGAAGACTGATGACCCATTCTGGCTCCAAGTTACACACATTTCTTCTGTTAGATGGTCCCTAAATCCAAGCCAATCCCCATACAAAAACCCCAGTCCTTCCAAGGGTTTGGAATCAGGTGACGCTCAATTGGTGTTAAAAAACAAGCAATTTGTTTCAAAAGATCTTGGCATAAAAGCGTTCTGCCGACCTTGGTATAATGAATGGACCTGATGAAGAAGCATTTCTATGCCTTTTATCTAGCACGTGTCACACTCTGGGTTTAAGAAAGGCTAGAAACAATATCACAAAATTACATTTCAGCAGTGGAGAGACTAATAGAATAAATTAGACAGATGAACAGTGGAACCTAAAGTAATAGTTAATTGGGAATGAGAATGGGAAAACTGATAAGACTAATTATAAAATGTTAGCTGAGGTTTTGGGTGTAGGAAATTACGGTTTCACTAGTAAAAAAAAAAAAAAAAAAAAAAAAAAGCAATATGTGAGAAGTGGGTAATTTGTGAAGAAGAGCTCCAAAACATTTGATTCTAACAATCTTACATCCACCTAAAATTAAGATTCAGCATTCTCTTCCAGTACTCATGGAGGCATTCATTTACATAAACCTATCTTTTTCCAACCTCTTAGCAATATATTGAAAAGAATACAATTAGCATATAACTGCAAGATACTTATCACTTTTATCTTGTTATTAAATCTACAAGCAGAAAGACCATTGTAACTTGATAAACTCCTAGTGAGCGTTTTCCATCAAGTCATCATAAGCTTTTATAAAATCAGAGTTTTTCCAAAAGACACTCATTCTAACAGTTTCACCACTGAAGTAAAGTATTGTCCTAAGATGTTATCCCTCCTTTCGTACAACATTAACCACCGTCTCTTGGACACAGGAAAGACTTGTTAGGTTGAAAAAAGCAGTTCTGAGCTGGGGAAGCATATGATGGCTTCACCTCAAAGTTCACTGGCCCTCATGGCAGTGAAATAAAAGAGGTCACAGAAGGAAAGCACCACGCAATTCAAACCGGAAGACTCTCCAACAAGAGAGACAGCACTGACCAGAACCACACATTACCAAAACACGGATTGAGAATGATTTATTAAGGTCCAATTAGTATGTTTTTAATTTCAAATAGTCCATATTGCCTTCAGAATATATGCACATGAGTAAAAGTCCAAGTTCATTGCTTTCACTTCCAATATAAGATGCTCTGTAGTTTGTATAAAGTATGTGCAAACACCTTTCTGCTAACTGGTTCCTCACATTCTTTTCACTTTGGGCACTTTACAAGTCTGCCCTCTGCTCGAATGGTGCCCATGCACTGACTTCCCCCTTCCTACACAACCATTTTTCTTCTGGACATCTTTCTCTTAAACGTACTCCTGACTTTCCCATACTTGCTTCATGACTGTGGCTTAGCTGGTTACTTACTATAACAAACTGGTGCGATTACTAGCTTACGTAGATAATGCATGGCATCCAGTCACACACTGACACACACTACTTGCCTGATACAGAAGGGTCCAAGCTATTTAATATGAAGATCCTTTCTACACTCGGCACGTTTGATTTCTTTGCATTTTCTCCAATTCTACATGACAGTCATGGCTACCAACAGCTGAGAATCAGTCCCTCAAACAAAATTTGGAATTGCTAGACATATTAACCAGGGTGCCCTGGTTATTTATGACAGTTGACTGTTTCTAGGCCATCTTGTTATATAAAAAAAGTCACTCTAAACTAAAGAAACCACTGTATTTCCTTTCTAAAAAGGTAATTTAACTGGCTTTCCTCACAATTGCCACCAATGCGGTACAAAGCAAGAAATCCCTTTTTATAAAAGGTAAGAGCATAAAAAGACATTTCACATTTTAAAAAAATCCTTCATGGGAATATGTCCTAAGTAAATAATCAATTACATGGACAAAGTTTTCTATATACAAAAGTTTTGCAACATTATTTATAATAGTGAAAATTAGAAATAACCTAAGTAGTCAACAATATGGGAATGGTTAAATAAACCGAGTTGCGCCCATTAAATGGAGTATTATATAACCACTAAAATTATGTTTTTGTAAAATTTTTAATGCCACAGGAAAACGTGGCAATTCTGCAGTGGAAAAAAAACTGGTTATAAAATTGTTTACAATATTATCCCAATTATATAAAAAGGTATATAATATACATATAGGCATACACAGGGGGAAAAGCTGTTAACGGTGGTTACTTCTGAGTTGTGATATTATCAGTAATTTTTTTTCTGTTTTATACATTTCTGCATCTTTCAAGTTTTCTACAACAATGTCTATGTATTATTTTATAATACAGAAAAACACAGGCTATTAAAAAATTCCTCTGACGTACTGATAATTAGAATGTATTGGCTGTTATAAATATGTGGAACAATATTACTATGCTTCATCTTCTATGACTTTCTTAGAGTACATATTCTTTTGGTAATAAATTTACATTCCCTCTGTTTTATATGTGTTACAACACTTTTAAAAAAGGTCATGTTGTGATCAAAGCATTGTTTGTTTCATAACCTAAACAAATACTGGCTTCGACATCTAGGTTCTTCTCTTTTCTAGAAGATTTAAAATTAATACCCTTTTATCTTTTTAAGTAAGGCATACTGCATACATACATTATATGCATGCTTTCTAAAAAATAATTCTAATTTACAGTTTTCCTAAATAAGGAAAAAATGGAGTTACGGTAGTGTAAAAACAGTCTTAGGCTTATCCATCACAAGCATGCTGATAGGCATAAACATGTTTATTAAATGAAATGTATCCTTTAAAAATAAAAAAGGGAAGCCTGTATATAAATGAAGTTGTGGATTCAATTAGTCAGAATTTATTCTGACTTGCACCAAACCACACAAAATCTTTCGAAGCCTAGTTAGTGTAGTCTAAATGGACACTCCAGAGTCTATTTATGAATTCCATTGCAAGATCTCCACCTTCTACTTTCAAAACGAATGGGGATCAGGATGAGGGATGTCACATAAGCTAATTTTCAATATATATCAAGTCTTCTTGGGTCTAGGAACAAATACTGCCATTGGTTAGTGTTTAAGTACATGAGTTCATTTCTCCTCTCTCTCTCGCGTGCCACCTGGCCCTAGCATTTGGGTAGGGGGAGGCTGTTCATCCCTCAGTGGATGATGGCTCGCTTCTCATCTTAGCTTCCTTTCTAAACCACAGAGTGGTCATTGCTGTGAACTCCAGCCAAGATGGTGTGGTTGAGGGAGGAAGCCGAGCGGTCTGAGCCTTCCGTGGGGCCGCTGGTGTTCTCACTGCGCTGGCAGCAGAGGATCTGTCTGAAGGTGGCACTCATCTCCTTGTCACGGTAGGAGTAGATGATGGGGTTCATGGCAGAGTTGAACTCGGCAAGCAGAAGGAAAAATTTCTCATAGGCCAGAACGTCACACTGCGGACAGCACACATCGAGGAGTAACAAGACCAACCCAGGAGTCCAGCAGATAATAAAGGCACCTACAAAGACAAGGACCAGGAGAATTTTAAAAAGAGAGAACAAAAGTATATAATTATGAAACAAACAACCATAAAGTAAAATGATTTCAGTTCAATATAAAAATACTGATTCGAAGCCAGCAGATCATGGGACACACAGTATTCATTATCTGCAATAATCAGAAAAAAATTTTAAGGATAAAATAAGCAGTTTAATGAACTCTCATTAATTCAGCCCCTACTAAAATTGAGTATTTATGAGACACTGATGATGACTACCTTGAGCAAAACACAGAGTTTGCTAAGCAATTAAGACATGAAAAACTGCCTTCAGGATACAAACTTCAGTGCTTATAAAAATATGGTTTTTAACAGCATATTATTTTCAGGCAAAAGATAAGCACTGTGACAAATGTCCTTTAGTGTTAAGGCACAGTTTCTGGATTCACCTTGACTGGGCTCAAATCCTTGCTTTGCCATTTAATAAACTGGGTGAACTCAAGCCATGACTTTCTTACCTCAGTTTTCTCACGTGAAAAATAGAAATGATTATATTTACCTCATTAGGTTTGTTGTAAAGAGTAAACGAGTGCTAAGATAATAATCACTCAGTATATCTTAGCAGTAACAATAACAATAATAACGACAATATTGTTATTATCTACTCAGTAGCATGGACCTCTTTAGAAATAGCAATTTCCAATGATAAGATGTATGTTTACTTTTATTTTTATTCAACAATCACTTACAGAGTGCTTTTCTATATGCTTTACAAATATTAACTCGTTTAATCCGCACAAGAGCCATATGAGATAGAAATTATAGTCCCACCATACAGATGAAGAAACTAAGACCCAGAAAAGTTATCTTACTCAAATCCATGGTACTGGAAAGTGACAGACAGGAGACAAACCTCAGAATTTCTGCTCTTAGAGACTGGCTCCAGAGGCCACACTTCAGAAAATGCTATGTTACAGTCCCTATTTCTTGAAATTAATAAAATTATTTTAAACCAAATTTTATGCTTTAGGTGTTTTACTAATTTAGACCAACTTGGTTCTTTCTTCAACTATTCTGAACCATCAAGATTTTACTATAACTGAAAAAAGAATAGAAATATAGATTATATTCTTAATTCCAGTTTATTTAGTTTCAGAAATCACTCATTTGGCTCCCAGGGGAAATGGAGGTTGTGAAATAGCATTAAAATCTGCCACTATATTACCCCAGGATCTGCTGGGGAGTCTCGGCTAACAAAACATGAGCCAACGGAACAGGTAGGCGCCCTCACCTCCCCTCCATCTCATGCCGTATGTATAATCAGGCTACACAATGGGCAGACAGAGAACAGGAGTGATCACAGAAAAGCACGTGAATCTTGAGACTTAAATGGTATTGGCCTAGGTGCATGCAGGCTTGGACTGGGGTCATGGAATTGGACTAGCCTCAAGGAATGAGTTTCACAAAATATAAACAAACGAGATTTAGTCTCCAAACAGCCAGTCTTGAATGTGAGCTTTCTTTTTTTTGAACCTTTTCAGCAGGGAAATGAAAATAAAGAAAGGAGAAAAGTACCCCCATAAAGCTCTTTGTTCTAAACACAAATGTGTATTGGTTTTAAACTGCTGTTCACTTTGAAGACTGTCCAAGGTGCTTCATTTTCTAATAAATACAATACCTTAGACTTGCCTTAGAGAGAAGAAAAAATATTTCAAATATCAGGAGATAATAGCCAAGGAGCTATTTGAACTTCAAGTAAAAATGTTAATAAAGCATTCATTCCAAGTCCTTGAATTTCCTTGCTTGAAAATCACTCAGAAAGCTAAACATAAAGGAAAATCAAAGGAATGCCTCATGGGTTTCAGAAATAATGCATTATTCATTGAGAAGCCAGGAAGGGAATTATTCTCAGGGTGGAAAAAGCTTGGATGGAAAATACATGGTCCCATTATTCTATTTACTTGGAAACTAAAAACACGCAGGCCCTTCATGAATGGAAGAGCATTCTTTCAAGTTTCCTTTCCCCTTTCTTTCATCAAACCTCTAATTGAACTCAAATTCAGAGCTTGATTAGATACCAGCAATATGCATCTCAACAGATTTATTTTAAATAAAATGATCCTTTTCTCCAGCCAGGCAGCAGAAGGGGACATCTTTATTCTCACTGACTTGCTCAAATTGCGTGACTTTATTCAAAAGAGAAAGAATTCAAATACAGTCATTTATTGTTTATAATTTCTTCTAATTTTCAATAAACCCATGGTTTCAGAGGCTAGCCCATGGGCCTTACTTTTGGGCCAAAAAACGCAAGGTGCCTTGCTAGATCAGAGATGGGAAGTAGGAAACACCATGGCCTGATGCAGGAGTAATCTATGTGGACACTTCACTGAGGAACTCAGAGTCCTCTCCCCTCTTCTCTGAAAGGAACTGTTTTTAGTACTGTGATTAAGCCCAACCATACAGTCCCAACACCCTGTGTTTGGATCTTCAAGACTCAATGGAGTAATTCAAGGGACTCACAGTACAGGCCTCAAAAATCAACATCTAAAACCAATCATACGGTTCTCCCTTCTTCTCTTCCCTTCCCTCCTCTTTCACAGAGGTGCCAGGGACCAAACTGACCAGAAGATGAAGACGGACTACAGAAGTGGAAAATGGAGCCTGGAAAATTCCAAGGTGATTAGGCTTCTAAACAATAGTGAGTGAATTTTATGAAATCAAGTTTGCTCAAATTATAGACTTACTTCCCAGTTTCTAAAAACAAAAACAAACTACGCCCAAACCCGTTGAGTAATAACTAATCAACCATAATTCAACTGGGTTATAGGACTTGAGATGCGCATTGCGGACCCTATCAACATGTAATCTGTAGAGACTCAAGTGCACACTTATAAATCAGGTTAGTAAGAGTAAAAAGAACCTCCTTCTCCATATCTGTAAAGTGGAGGAGTAATAGCTCCCTGCCTGCCTGGTAGCGGGTGGTGAGGATGAAACTGAGATACAACATGTGAAAGCCCTCTGTACCCTACCAATTGCCATTGTGGGAGGCACAATGTGTGAAAAGGGTGCGGCACAGTACCAGGGCAGATTTCCTCCAGGGCAGAAGACGGAAGCATGTTTTGGACCATAGAGACCTGGCATTTCAAAAAGCTCTGAGATGATACCATCCTGATTATGAGAGATCACAAGGACTTGCAGTTGGATATAAGGAGGATAAGAAGGAAAAGAGAGGGAACACAGACAAGCACAGAAGCCCCAAATCATTGTGGAGGTTCTCATGGGTCAACTCAATCCCTATACCAAAATGGCAAATAAAACAACGTGCTACTCAGTAGGGACAGGGCTTTAGGTAGTTTGTATATTTCCAGAATATTTCTGATGGACGAATCCCCACAGACCACGGCCTAAAACCAAAGGATGCTGTGCAATAGCATGAAAGCAAGAGGAAGCACAAGCAGTTTATGGTAACTTATTATGAAGTCAGAAGCAGAAGATAAGATGTCCAAGGTCATGAAGACCTTGTGTATCTGGCTACGACATTTGAAATTTCTCTAGCCCAACACTGATTCTCAAACCTAGCCACATATTACAAGAGCCCAGAGCTTACAAGAAGCAATGATCCTCACTTGTACCTCCTCCTATAAGATTTTAATTTCATTGGCCTCATGGGTCAGAGTTTCATTTAATATACAACACTGTAACAGAATGGAAGAAGAAAATGATCTGGATAAAAATCAAGGAAAGAACATCAGACATTTCCAAATCCAGAGGAGAAATAATGAAAGGCTGAATCCAGGTATTGGCAATGTGGAAAGAGAGGTATGGAAGGATTTGGAAAGTATTTAGGACATAGATTGCATGAAATGAATGAGAAAGATAAAAAGAGTCTAGGATGACTCCTAGATTTTTCCATTTAGGTGAAGGAAGAACGGTTCTATCTTTCACTGAAGGAGGAAATAACAAGAGAAAGGGTTAGTTAGTGTTTTCTGAGGAGAACAGAGATGATGACCTTGGTTCCATATATCTTTAGTTTGAGGTACCAGCAAGACTTCAGATGGAGATGCTGTAAAGACATCACGAGAGGCTTATGGCAATTTGAGCCCTGGGAAATTGGCTCTTAGTGTGCTGAACAAGAATGGTTACACTCTGCATGATTTGCCAACATTACAAGGAACATGGGGAGAAGGATTTTCAAAAAACATCTGTGGGCTGGAATAAACAGCAGAAATGGCTCTTCCTAGAGCGAGCTTCATTCCTTTCTTATACATCTGTCAAATCAATCTGTGAGGGTTCCAATGCCCACAAAGATGGATGGAGAGGTGCTGGAATGTAGATGTAAAAAGCAGGGAGGAAGGAGGTGTTTTGGAACAACAGGTCACAGCTGCAGAACAAGATCATATTACCGCATCTTCTCTCAAATCGACACAACCCCATCAGCTGACTAATACGTACCATCTGCTCCCACAATTAGAGTCTTTTTTCTAGAGTGACTTTTCCCTACTCGTTGAACTTTGCTTACATAGGGAACATAAGAACCAAAGTTAAAGAGAAGAAAAGTCTTTGACAAAGAAGACCTCTAGGGAGAAAGCCCAAGATTTTTGATGAAAAAAACAGAAAGCATTTCCAGTCTGGCTGGCAAATTTGTGTTTTTCCAAAAAAAAAAAAAAAAAAGTCAGACGTCCCACGGATCTAAAACAAGTCAAGTTAAATCAATTGTCCACCGGTGCTGTGTCCAAGTTAACCTCTCCTTTGGCCTCACTCTTCTTGTTTCTCGAATGGGGATCTCAGCAACAGTCCTTCTTATCTCAGAGGCTTTGGTAGAGGTCAAGGGGGGAAATAAGTGTTCAAATACATAAACCACTTTTTCTATGGCCACTAAAAGGTGTATTCCTTCAGGGAAGCATCGTTGGTATCCCAGAATCCAATCCAATTTTAGATCATTTCTGTAGTTATAGTCTGATTTCTGCTATGAAGGTACACATATAAGATTTGGCTAGCTAGGAAATCCTTCTAAAATATCT